ACTGCGACAATGTTTCAAAATTAGGAAGGGAAGCAGTGATTATTTGTATAGACGCTTCGCCACAGGTGGTACAAGTACTGGCATCCAAATCGACATTTGTTCTTGCAGGCGAAAGTACATTTCCCTCTAACTCACTGCTAACTGTGTTTCAACACGCAGCCTTAATCCGCCTGGTTCTTGGCTAGACTCTCAGACTACAGGCCGCCTCACTCAAAGTAGGTCACGGGAAGATAAGGGCCCAGCAAGGAGGTTATACAGTAAGGTCCTTGGTGTGAGAGCAACACGCCGTGTGCTTGATTAAACAAATGTCCAAAAATTACGGCATTTGCGGTATTTATTTATTTGACCCAACTATTACACTCAAAGGGCGTCGAAAATAAATAATGTGATTTTTAATAACTTAAAAAATGCAAATACTCAAATCGTGGTAGGAGAACGTCTAATAGCGGCGATGGATGTGTATAGAGAAGCAGGAGGTAAAGGAAAGCATTGTAGCTAGCACATGCCACAAACACAAACAATATATGGAAACAGGTCAGGTAGTAGGCAATTAGAAAACAACAAACATTCCACTGGAAACTTACAATGTCATTGTTAGTCGAAGTACACAGAAAACTGTACATTGTCATAGTTACCGTGGGTTCTGTGCATGTGACCTTGAATACAACGAAAACCTAAGGATCTACAGTCACCCATTTCTTGGACAGTTCAAAAGAACAATATGTTTCATTAAAAAATTCAACTTTCCATTAATTTTTTTCTTCTGACGTAACAAAACGAAGCAGTTATGTGAGTTGATTCTCTCGAGCTAATAAAACCCTTGACCTGCGGGCCTGAACAGTGGCTTCTATCTCTTGAGGGCTTGGAGTCTACTATGCGGCATGTTATAAGAACGTTTAGGTCGGGCTCCACGGCAGAATCATCACGGCAGAACTGTTTGACCAAACTGCGACAGAAACACCGTAACTTCAAGCTCAGCAGACTCTGAGAAGTTCACACATTGACCCCTGCCGACATAATATCTTCTTCTTCTTCTTCTTTCCCGTGGTTGGAGCAACCGTGGGGGCGCCACTGCATCTGAAAACCAGCTCTTGCCATCTATTTTTGTCCTCTGCTTTCCTCGTCCACTCTGTAATGTTGTCATCCCATCTCCCTCTCTGCCTTCCTCTCTTTCTCTTTCCTTGTACGGTTCCTT